GATTATGGGAGTGATGAGGAGGAAGGAGTGAGGAGGGAGGAGGGAGGAGGGAGGAGGGAGGAGATAGTTGGAAGGGAACAGCAAACTTCAGTATCTTCATCTCTCGGTTTCCTCGTGATACCTGGAGGACGCTGAAGCTCATGGCCCGGCGCTCGTGTGGTGCAGGCCAGAAGCCGTGGGACTGTATGGCAAAGGAAGGATCGATGTAGCACTTGGAGAGAAAGTCGGAGGAGAGAGGGAGAGGAAAGTCCACGTCGACCTCGCAGCCTGCCCAGCATGCCTGCAAGCGAGAGAGACGTGAGGAGCAATGAGGAGAAGCAGGAAGGAGAAGCAGAGGAAGACGGGAGGAAGGAGAAGAGAGAGGAGGAGGAGGAAGAGGAAGGGAGGCGAAGGAAGGAGAGGTGGGAGAGGTGGCAGGGGATGGGAGGAGGAGGGAGGAAGAGGAGAAGAAGAGAAGAAGGAGAGGAAAGCAGAGGAGAAGTTCATCTGACTTTGTCAATGTCGCAAGCAGTCCCTTTGTGTTTGCGACGAGAAGCAATTCCAAGGAAGTTCTTGATGCTGATGATGTCGACAGAAAGCGGAGAAATCTGCCAAGAAGTGAACAAATGATGAAGATAAAGAAGAAGATGATGATGAGAATGAGGAGAAGGGAGGAATGGAATGAGGATTAAACACCTTCATGGCTTGAGAGATGGCAGTCCTGAGCTTGAGTCGATCAGCATCTGTCAGGCTTTCGGCCCAGGGCCCATGGGAGATGGAGATGTTGGCAACGATGCTGAGGATAGAAGGTCATCAGCGAGAAAGAGGACAGGAAGCGTTCCTGAGGAGGAGAGAACGAGGAGCAGGAAGGAGAAATTTTGAGGAGAAGTATTCGTAGGAGGTGAGAGTACAAGAAGGAGGAGGATCAGGAGACGAGGAGGAGGAGGTTCAAGACGAGGAGGAGGAGGTTCAAGACGAGGAGGAGGAGGAGGGAGAGCTGAAGGATCAGGAGACGAGGAGGAGGAGGAAAGGGGAAATTCTTCTCTTGCCTTTGCGGCAGGTCCATCTTTGGATTGAAATTCTTTTCGCACTCGTTCCCTCCATTGCAAACCCCGCAGGCATCCACCAGCAGCCCTGAGAAAGGAACCCCATCGCATCCTACGCACGCGTTCTGCCCTCCGCATACTCCACAGCGATCCGGCACCTTCCCCGAGTTTGGTACCTGCCCTCTCAGTCACTTGAATTCTCCTCCTCTTCCTCCTCATCTTCTCCAACTCCTCTCCACTTCCTCCTCCACCTCCTCTCCACCTCCTCCTGTCCTGCTCCAACTGCTTCTCTTCCTGTCCTCTCTTCCCTCGGTCCTCGCTCTCCCTCACTTACCTTGTCGCAACCCCAGCAGAGAGTTGAGTCTCCTCCGCACTCGCCGCAGACATCCATCGAAACGTTGCAAGCAGAGCTGGAGGACAAGATAGTTCCTGAAGCTGCGAACTCCGGGAGGCTGAAGAAGTCAGAGGAGGAGCAGTCCTTGACGTAGGAGGGGAACGGACAGACGCTGGCGCTGACGATAGGAGCGAGCGCCTCCTGCTTGCTCGCCCGGTTTATGAGGCTGAACTCAACGCGGAGCGTCTTGGCTCCAGAGCAGGAGCCGTCGCGGTAGCACATCTCGACATTGTCAGCTGGGAAGGTGGTGGACAGCGTGCCCGCAAACTGATCGAACGTCCCTGTCGCCGTCACCCTCTTCTGGTTCTCGAGCACGAAGGTGACGGGGAGGCTGACAGTGCTCTTGGTCATGGAGCCGTTGAGCTGCCTGACTAGCAGGCGGGTCCCGTGCATCGGAGGGAAGTTCAGCTGCAACTGCAAGCTGATCAGGTTCTTGCTAGCCTGGATTGTGTTCGCCTCCGTCACGTTGGCAGTCACCCACGCTGGCTGCTCCTCCCCCGTCATGACGCGCACAAACTTGGTGAGGGACTTGATTTGTATGCTGCCGAACCCGATCATCTGCAGGTTGAACCCGGAGAACGTCGGGGCTGAGTTGATCAGCTTGAACGAGATCGTCAGGTTCGGCTGCTGCACACACGACTGGACGGTGACCTCGACCTCTCGCGAGAACGAGGATGCCGTCAACCTTCCACCCGCAAACACGGAGGGTGCGCACGAGTCGCTGAACGCCGAGCACTGAGGGGCGGAGTGGACGGGGAAGCTGTTGGAGGGAGGAGTCAGCGAGTCCGGGAACCCTGCGAAGCGGATGGAGGTGCCGAGAGGAGGGGCCGAAGCCGGCGACCCCGCCATGACGACGCTGAAGGTGATGGTGATGATGTTGACAGCGTCGTAGACCCGCGTTGACCCGCGGATGTCAAAGTCAACGGAGAACTCCGAGCTCGTTGACAAGTTGAAGAACAGGGAGGACATGGGGATGGGGCTGCTGAAGCTTGACCGGGTGACCGGGAGCAGGACAGAGCTCTTTGACTGGTCATCGATGAGCAGCCAGTCCTTCCTGTTCCTGCTGCCGTACAACCTCCACCGTACCACGTCGCGGCCATTGCAGTCGTTGGCCGTCCCCACCTGGTACGAGTCCACCGGCACGTCGTACCCGAAGTCGAAGACCACCGGGCAGCTGTCCATCTGAAGGAGCTTGGAGAAGAGATCTCCGTCCGACAGGTAGACTGAGGACTCTGAGGCAGGATAGGTCCCATACTTGCTCGCTGATACGACCGACAGCCTCGTTGACCGGTAGTAGAAGGCAAACTCGCTCAGGGAGTAGGTCGTGGAGGAGATGCTCCCCACTGCGACAGGAAAGAGCGCGTAGTACCTGAAGGCCGTGCACTGGGAGTGCTGGAGAGGAGGGATGGGAACCCAAGACTGTGGAGGGCAAGAGGAGGAGGGCAGTGAAGGGTTGGTGGAGCAGTACTTGACCACATTGTCAGTGATCGCCTTCGCCTCCGGTGCCGGGCATGTCTGCATGTTGCTCGGTAGCGCTCCATCTGTCGCCATAGCGCGGATTGAAGGCGACACAAGGAAAGGACTGTTTGGCTTCCCAGGGACGACGACGACGGCAGTCAGAGTCTCGATCCGGTTGGCGATACTGCAACCCGAGCTCGTCGAGCTAAGGGTTATCTTGTCTCCGTCCGAGTAGATGTTCCCAACATCATTCGCCACTGATACAGCATCGCCCTTGGGCTCTACAATTGGAGAGCCCTGGAAGCTGTAGAAGATAGTTGTCCCATTGATCGTCTCTTCCGTCTCTATCGTGATGTTCACCGACAGCCCAAACTCGCAGAAAGGATCAGTAGGACGGCAGGAGAAGGGATACCCCGACTGGAACGACAGCCGTGGCGGCTTCGCTGCATACCGACACGTCGCTCCGCTCTGAAACTTCCCACGAAACCACTCGCACTGCTGGTTCCAGGTACCGTCGTCGGCGCTGGTCCTGGTGAAAACACAGTCGTCCCGTGGAACACACTGAGGCTTCAGGAGTCCTGCCCCGGGGACGAACTGGTAGCCATCGAAGCATTTCAGTGCTAGAGAGGAAGGGAAGAACATCTCGTCTATGCCGTTCACCACTAGTGAGACGTTCAATGCCGGGAGCCACTTGTTCAGCAAGTCCGGTATCCCTTTAGAGTAGATGTCTGGTTTCGCAACGCTCTGGGTGCAACATGGTCCAAACGCGTCGTTGGTGACCCAACCTGCTCCGAGATAGGAAGAAGGAGGAGTGACGCACGTCCTACAGTACAGCCCGCAAGATACAGGCTTGCAGCCGAAGGAAGCTGGCTGGTGTGGGGAGTAAAACCCAGAATCCAGGCAGGTGGCGTAGGCGGAGAAACCCTTGGAGTCATTCCTCTCGTACCCGCTGTTACAGGTGATGGGTACCACGTCAGCATACTCAGCCTTGAGGACCTCAGGAGCAGAGTTCGCCGGGGCGTTGGGGTACTTGCCGCACTTGATCTTTTCAAGACATGTCTGGTTGAACTCTGGGAACTCCACACACGTGTAGCCGCGAGTCGGGATCTTACAGCTGAGGGGGTCATGGGGGAGGTACTGTCCGAAGATCATCTCGACTAGACACCCACTGACGTAGGGATAGGCCGTGTAGTTGCACACATGGACAGGAGAAAGGGTCCCATTTTCGCAGCGTTGCTCAGCGGTGGCGCGGAGATGGTAGGAGTGAGTGGGTCGGTACGTGAGCGATGCTGCTGCAGGAGTGATGAAAGGGAGGGCAAGGAGGAGGAGGAGGAGGAGGAGGAGGAGGTGAGAGGCGACGCGCTGCATTGCGCACTATCTCATTCGATGACGGCCATTCCTGCACAGAAGTCCTTTCACATGCTTGACTTTTTGTTTTGATTTTTTATTCTTTTTTTATTTTACAGGAAACAAAGAGAGCAGTTACGCCGTCAGGATGGCGTTCGGTCGCGGAGGCAGCGCCATGGTGAGATGAGGAGGCGGGGAGGAGGAAGGGGAGGGGAGAGAGGAGGAGGAAGGAGATGGGAGAGGGAGGGAGCGAGGAGGGACAGCAGGGAGCTGGAAGCGGGGAGCGGAGAGGGGGGGCAGCGAGTAGCAATGAAGCAGGAAAATGTACGCTGAGGCAAAGAAGACTCAGGACGTGGAGAACGGAGGCATCGGAGAGGAGGATGGAGCATGGGAAAAAAGGCAGTGTTCATCAAGGAGGAGGGTGTGGGGAGGGAGAGGATGCAGGGAGGAAGGTGAAGGAGGATGAGGGTTGAGATCTTGGAGGAGTCACATGAAGGAGGCTGCACTTGTTCCGCCCCCGCCTGACTCGTTGCGTCAAAGTTGCAGGCCATGTCCGGCAGGCCGAAAGTGAAGGTGATCGATCCCAGCATCGTGCCTGCTGCTCGTAAGGGTCTATCCTCACCATGGGCAGAGGTTGAACAGCGTCGCCTTTAGTTTCGCCTGACACATGTTTGTGGTCCAGTGCGACAGGAAAGGTCCCTTCACAACTGAGTACTCGGAGAACTTCTTTGTGCGTCTGTCTTGTCTTGCTTGCTCAGGAGCTCCTGACATGCTGAAAGCTGCTCGTAAGAGACGACGACGATGAGCCGTCCAAGATTCAAATCTCTCAACTCCTCAACCGACCGGCGAGCTCGCTCTCGATGGATTCGTTGTTGGTGGAGCCCAACAAGGAGGAAGACATCGGTGATGATGTTGTTTCTTCTCGTTTGAGTGCAATAGTTGTTGGTGGCGGTGGTGAATATGATGATGATGATGATGATGATGATGATGATGATGATGATGATGATGATGATGATGATGATGATGATGATGATGATGATGATGATGATGATGATGATATGTCTCCGATGTTCTTGTTGTTTCTCGTTCTCATGACGAGCATCACAACAGACGAGTCACCGTACGCTGCTGAGCCGGTGAGGGCAATAATCAAGGACGTACATCCCACGGTACCCGAGGACCCAGTCGTTGCGGCGATCATTCAGTCAGCGGACCAGCATCGGACTAAGAAAGAGAAACCCACACTGAAGAATCGCATCTCAGAGGTGACTGGTCACACCAAGAAGATGGAAGAAAACCTCGGAAGGAATGAGCAGAGGGGTTTCTTGCCTCAGAACGGAAGCTCTCGCCATACGAAGCTGTCTGCCGGAAAGATTAAGACAGGTCAAGAGATGCTTGTTTCTCTCCACCATCTCAACTCCTGTCGTGCTTGCTCGCAGGCAAGGTTGAAGTCATGGAAGGAGACATTGGAACCTGGGTGCCGTTTGCTGAGGGCAAGTGGTACGAGAGGAAAGACAAGAGGTTCTCAGAAGAAATGAGGAGGTTGGGACCGTCAGTTTTCCTTCTGGTCTGATGGCTGTGAAGGTACATGTCTGGAATCCACCACATCAGCAGTCACAGGCCAACAAACATGCACGCGAGGTTTGAGACGACGACGCAAGGTGGGAGGAGGTGAAGGAGGTAGGACAGGAGTGATGGAGTGGTTGGCAGGGAAAGCTGGACAGGACGTGAGGAAGTCTTCAGTGTCGAGGCGTGAGGAGAAGAAAGGCTCTAGAGCAGTGAGTGCGAGGGCGGCAGCTCGGCAGTCCCGACCGACCTCGGCTCCTCCCAGTCATGGTTACAAGAATGTCCACGACAAGATCAAGAGGCTGGCGGAGAAAGATGTGCAGACCTTGATAGTCGGCGAAATGGGCTCGGTGCAACGAGAGGACAAGGACGATGGCAAGGTGGTGGTGGAGGAAGAGGAGGAGGAGAGGGTGAAGGAGAAGGAGCCCCTGAATGGTGGTAGAGGCGCAGTGGAGCGAGCTAGAGTGAACAAGCAGACCGTCGCTTCGCTTCTGTCTCACAGCAAGAAGGAGGAAAACCATGAGACGTCCAAGGCTCAGAAGGACAACAAACAGCCCAGCGAGAGTCCGGAGCAAGACTGGATTCTTGTGTCCCACGACGATGTTGATGAGCGAGGAGGAGCAGGGGAGTCAGCAGGCGGAGAAGGAGAAAGAGCAGGAGGGAGCTGGCGGCCTTCGTCTCCTGCCGCCGCTGCGTGCATGCTGAGAGGAGGCCCCCCTCCCGGTTACAGGTTGTTCGCTCCCGGCGTTACCGCGTGGAAGAATCCGAAGAATTATTTCGGCCTTCCGCTCACCGCCTTGCAGGTAGAGGAGGAGGAGGAGGAGGAGGAGGAGAGGGAAGGAAATGGAGTGGAAACTGGGAGGGGAAGGAGAGGGAGCAAGGAGAGAGGCGTTGAGTCGAGGACTAGAGAGGAGGAGGAGGAAGCTAGTGTCGGAGGAGAGAGGGAAAGCGTTTGTCGTCGTGCTGAAGTTTTCTTGGCAGAGGATCACAGCGGCCGGAAAGAAGTCAACTTCGATACATCAAGGTAGGAGGAAGAGAAGAAGATGGACGGGAGTTTGGACAGAAGAGGATCAGTGGAGGAGAGAGGATGAGGAGGAGGAAGAAGAGACAAGCCTAGCAGGAGCAGGAGCAGGAGCAGGAGCAGGAGCAGGGGAGCATGTGGAGGACGTAGGAGAGAAGAATCTTTGATGTCCGTCCTGCAGGAAGTCCCGGAGTCCGACGATCTCATGGGGAGAGGCCGCAGTCTGCTCCTCTTCATCGCACGTCTCAAGATTTCCCGTTGAAGACAGGAGTGTAAGGAAGGAGGAGAGGAGAGGAGAGGAGAGGAGAGGAGAGGAGAGGAGAGGAGAGGAGAGGAGAGGAGAGGAGTCTGAAGGGTAGACCTGAGTGATAGGAGTAATGTGAGATCCATCCAGTCGTACTCTACAAACACCTCTCTTCTCATTTGTTCGGAGCATCCGCTGCGCAGTTGTCAGTATACTCCTCCTCCTCCTCTCCTCTTCTTCTCTTCTTCTCTCCCCTTTCTCCTTCTGACTTGCTCCTCCTCTCCTGTTCTTGTTCCTTCCTCCTCTTCTCCTCTCCTCCTCTTTCTGACCTCAACGATGTCGCTCTCATCCAGTGTATCGTCCGAGAAGCTCACAATGAGGGTCTTGCGAATCTGAGGCTGATGAATTAGACAAAATTGAGGAGGAGAAGGCAGGAGGGAGGAGGCAGGAGGCAGGAGGGGAGGCACAGGAAACAGGAGGGAGGGAGAAGGAGGAGGAGGAGAAGAGAGGAAGGAGATTGAGCTGCGAACAACATGGAGAACGAAGAGAGGTGTTGGAAAGAGGGAGGAGGGGAGGGGGAGAAGGAGGGTGCACCGAGTAGGAGGACTGAAGGAAATCATTCAGATCGGGAGGGTAAGGAGTGAATTCGTTGGTTCCATCAGCAATTCTTTCAATGAGATCTGGAATCTGAAAGGCATGTCAGGAACTTCTCTGCCTCTGCTGCTGCTGCTGCTGCTGCTGCTGCTGCTGCTGCTGCTGCTGCTGCTGCTGCTGCCGCTGCTGCTCCTACTCCTCCTCCTCCTCCTCCCTTTCTCTGAACCTTGTCCTCTCACAACTGTCACTCTGTCTCCCTTTCTCTCCCCCTTCCCCCGCCATGCTCCTCTCCTCTCCCTTGCACCGACCTGCTGCACAATCTTTGACCCTTGCCTTATCAGAGGCAGAACTTCGCGCTCGACGGCAAGCGGGGAAAGAGGAGAGGAAGCGAAACTCTTGACAATGTCATCCGTCTGAAGGACACAAGAAGTGATCAGTGGGAACAAAATCAGACAACAACATCGGAGTGACAGCGACGTTGTGATGTTACGTGGTAGTCTCACGTAACATAAAATGAGACCACCATGTAACATAACACAACATAACATCACAACTGTCAATCTTCAGAGCATCATCACATAGGACTCTCCTTGACATCGTCTCACCTGCTTGACAAGATCGAGGAAACCATTTCTCATCTCCTGCAGGACATGTTGAGGTGAAGGAATACGCAAGGAGCACAATCACTTCAGCTTGAGGGTTGGGATCGACAATCATCTTCGAGAACGGCATGACCAGTTCTTCGAGCTGCGTATCATCACAATCAATAGGAAATTCCTCTTCCTCCTCTTCCTCCTCTTAGCAGCTCTCCCACCTCCTCTGCTCCTGCTCCTTCTTGCCACTCTCCTTCTCCTCCTCGTTCCCTCCTCCTCCTACCTCCTCTTACCTGTGGGATCGAGTCTTTCGCGGGCTTGTTGTTCCAGGAGACCAGCACCAGAGAGTCTCTCTTCCATTCCTCGGCGAACATAGTCGACAGGATCATCTGCAAGAGTGCCCCGCACGAGTGCCCGACGGCATGAACAGGGAGGGAGGGGAACTTCCCCCTGACCTCCTCCACCGCCTCCTCGCTCCTCCTCAACAACTTTGCGCATACATCCACGTAGTTGAACTCAAGCTCGAAAGGAGTCGTGACTACGACTAGCCCCTTGCTCGACATCTCTTCCAGCATGTACTTGTACGACAGGTGCGGCGCTGCCCCCACGAACGCTCCACCCAGGAAGTGCACGATCGCCTTGCTCCTCACCCCCTGAGGAGGCTCAAGCACGAAGCTTCCTCCTACCCGCCTCCACCTCCCCGTCAACCCGAAGTCGTCGGTGTTGAAGAAGGGGAGGGGAAGGCGAGGAGTCGTGAAGGAGGAGCGACCCACCTCCTCGTCCTCGTTCATCTTCAGCGAGACCTTGCTGGCTCTCTCCTTCGCTTCCTCCACCAGCACCCTGATGTTGTCTTCTTGCAGCATGCTGGCTCGGAGCGAAACTAAGGTAGCTCGGCCTTGCCTGAGACCGTTCACCTTCCATGGTTGCAGAGGGGGAGAGAAGGACTGGACGAGAGGAGAAACGCTCACGAAGACGCTGATGAGTTGAAAGAGAGGTTTGACGTTCATGTTGGCAGAGGAAGTACTTGACGAGAACAAATGAAGATCCAAGAAGACTCGGCTATTGGCTCATGGTTGAATCGCAACCAAAATCGTCGGAACAAGACCTGTCGAGGAGATATAAGTATTCCTCTTGAAGTCGAACAATGATCTCTCTTCATCACGGCAATCTTTAACTTCGGGGTCCTACTCTCACTCTGAGATCCCTTCCCTGGAGCCTCGCTCCACAAACCAGACCTGCACGTAGATAGACGTGCACCTACCTCTGGTTGTAATCTTTGAACTCATTCCCATTCCTGATATCAAACCACTCTTTCGCTCTCTTCTCATGCTAAATCTACCATCTTCTCCACTAACCTCTCTCTCCTCCTCTCTCCTCTCCTCTCTCTCCTTGTCTCTCATCTCCTCTCCTCTCCTCTCCTATCTCCCTATCTCCTCTCCTCTCCTCTCCTATCCTATCCTATCCTATCTCCCTATCTCCTCTCCTCTCCTCTCCTATCCTATCCTATCCTATCTCCCTATCTCCTCTCCTCTCCTCTCCTATCCTATCCTATCCTATCTCCCTATCTCCTCTCCTCTCTCTCTTCCTCTCTCCTCTCCTCTCCTCTCCTCTCTTCGTTCACATCAAACAAACTCTCTTTCGCACTCCCATCTGTTTATGAGTACGCCATCACCACCCTACCCATTACGCAAGAGAAAATGAAAGGGTGGGGTGGTAGATGAGACTCAGAGAAGGATAGTGAGGGAGCGAGAAATGGAGAAGAGGGACAGAGAGGAGGAGAGGAGGAGAGGAGAGGGCAGATGAGAAGAGGTGAAGGAGTGAGGAGTAGAAAAGAAGAGAAGGAGAAGAGCAGAAGAGGAGGGGAGATCTAGAAGGAGCAGACTGAAGATTGAAGAGAATGAGGGAACAGATGCAACTTGTGAGATGAGGGAGAAACGTTTCAAAGGTATTGCATGCGAATGGTGAGAATGAACCAAGTACTTTCCTCCCTCTTGTTGGTGTTGATGCTTTCAGACTCGTCAGTGTCATTTGTTTCTTTCCATCCTGTCCAATTGAAGGTCTCTCCATGGAACTTGTGTGGAAGACATTTCAAATCAGATATCTTCCCTGCATCGCAACATTCCCTGCTTTCACTCTGCATGCGCTCGGGGCGTGATAGCACGAGATGGTATGAAATGCTTCAACATCTCAAGGAGCACAAGAGAAAGCACGGTCACTTCACGATACAGACTGACGACGAGGAGAGTCTGAAGCTCAGGAACTGGATCTTTCGTCAGAGGCATAAATATAGGATCAACATGCTGAGTGAAGAGCGGAGGGAGGAGCTTGCTGTGATCGACTTTCCGTTTCATGATGAGCGGTTTGAATGGAACAAAAACTTCAACATGTCAAAGACTGTGTCAGCAACGTGCCAGAAGGCGTTGACCCGTTCGAAGAGAACATGCTGCCGAGCGAGCTCCTGGAGTTTGTGCAGGAGCAAGTGAGAACATGGGACAAGCTATCGCCCCATCAGAGGCAGAAGTTGAAGAGTCTTGGGCTTCACTTCTACAAGCTGCTCTCCAAAGATCACGTGGAGGGGAGGGGAAAGGAGGGGTCAAGGAATCTCAGCTTCGATGAGGGGCTGGCAAAGATGATGCTTGCTCTGAATGGTTCCATGGTGAATGAAGAAGCCGTAGCGAAAATATGCCAGGCCGACCCCGTGCTGGAAGATTGGTTCCGGGTTGTTCGACAAAGTTGGAAGAAGGGGACTTTGCTTCCAAGAAGGCTTCAGGTGCTGCTTGACATGGGCCTTGAGCTGGAGTCAGAGACAGATAAAGGGTGGGCGAAGATGTATCAACTCTGGAGAAACGCAAAGACGGGGAATGTTTCGTCGCAGTCGCGAAAGAAGAAGATTTGCGCATGGAGGAGTTTGCAGCGGAGAATGTACTATGTCAATCAGATCAACCCAGTTCGACTCGGCCTGCTGCAAGCAGAGGACTTCGACTTCGAGCTCAAAGACTCGGAGTTCGATGAGATGGTGAGAAAACTCAGAGTTCCATCTTCCACATTCATCGCGTCGATGACACGGTCGTAGGTAGAGAAGTTTGTGATGTCTCAGCAGGAGCAGGAGGAGGGGAGATCTAAGATGGACACGTCGGTGGCTCTTTGGTTCTACGAGCAGAGGGTTCGGAACATCGCCGGGAATTTGACAGCTGAAGAGAGGTTGCGGCTGGAAAGCATCGACTTTCCTTTTCTTAACGACAGAAGGTTCAGACGCTGCTCTTCACGTGCTCTCCACTTCAGTTCCTCCCCTCACCCCAACTCCCCCCTGCCTGTCTCTGCTGCTCACTTCCATCGCACAGGGAGTGGGCCCTGGAGGAGCTCAGCAAGAGCGAGAGGAAGGAGGTGGACAAGGGGTGGATGAAGAGGTTTGAGTCGCTCAAGGCCTTCAAGGCAATCCATGGGCACACCAAGGTACCGCAGCAGTGGGACGACGACCCCATCCTCTTCAGCTGGGTCTTCCGGCAGAGGAAGAGCATGCTGGCTGGGACCTTGAGCCCAGTCAAGCGAGAGCTGCTCGAGAGCATCCAGTTTGCGGATGAGGAGAACTACTTTGACACCTTGTGGGAAGAGCAGTTCGAAAAGCTCGTTGCCTTCAAGGAAAAGTTTGGCCACACCCGTGTCCCTCAACTGCAATCCAGCCTCGGCCGATGGGTACATGAGCAGGTGAGAGGGGAGGGGGAAAGGAGGAGGGGTCAAGAAGCCTTGGGAAGGTGGAGGAACGGAGGTGCGAGGGTGTGTGTGGCGAAGCAGAGCGGAGGGAAGGAGGGGAGCAGTGGAATGTGACGGCATAGACAGAGGAAGAGGGGAAAGGCGAAGAAACTCTCCAACGAGAGGATTAAAAAGCTCAACGGCAAGTCAACTTGTTCCTCCGTCTTCATGCAACTGATCTTGTCGCTGTCAGAGCTGGACTTCTGCTGGGATGCCAGGGGGTGAGACTCTTGCTTCTTCCTACTGCAGCGACTGACTGAGTCGAATTTCAGGGGTTGGTACCAGTGGCTGGGCCCGGAGGTGCAATGAGATTCGGAAGGTTCAGAGGGAAGACTTCTTGTCGACGATGCCTCCAGTGAACAACTTGAGAAGTCCTGCGAGCATTTCAAATCTCGTCGCTGATCAGGAAGAAAGAAACCGTTGGGGCCAAACGAGTCCTCGAAAATGTGCCATTCCTCTCCCTTCCACAGCACCTGAATACCTCGCACGGTTATGAAATCGATGATAGTGAAAGCAGTGGGATGGCAGGAGCAGGGGCTGAGGCTGGGGTTGGGGCAGGGGCAACAGCAGGGGCGGGGGCACGGGCACGTTCTGTCAAACCTTTCTCTCTGCATACTTGACTTGGACCTCGTCGGGGCTGAGGAAAAGTGGTGTGAAGGTAGAGAAAAGGAAGGAAGCTGACCTTAGAATCTTCTTGCCGATCATCCAAGGATGTAAAGCATTGTCTGAGGGAGCATGACTATTCCAAACACGAGGAGAGGAACAGTACCGATCACCCATGCTTGCTTCCTGCCAACAGCAAAACGGCAAAGAAAGAGAGAATGAGACGACCTCGACCAGTTCCAAGAGAGTTGTTTCACCCGCTGATGCGACCATGGCAGCCCTCGAGGCTCAGGTACTTGATAGCCTTGCAGAAGCATCAGCGCTGTTTGCGGACGAGGGGTGGGCTACCTCTTCACGATCCCCCTTGTCCACCAGCGAGTCCACAAGATCCTTAACGGGAGCATAGTCAAGCTTTGCTCGTCTTCCCTCTTACCTCACCTGCAAGCTCGCAACCTGCTGACGCTGTGGATCGAACGGCATCTTTGTGGGTCGGTCCTGCAACAAGGCTGGTCGATAATGCAAGTCACGGAGAGATGTTTGAGTACCATAGCGAAGTTGAAGTGGTCCCCGCAGACGATCAAGATAGCTTCTCGACCATACCTCTCATCTCTGCACAACGTACAAGATGAGACATGCAAGCGAACGCTATTTGAGGAGACGGCCCAGGGCTCACCTTGTCAAGGCAAGGTATGGCCCCTTCCCTTCCGGGAGGAGCTCCCAGCGTTCCAAGTAGATGTGCTACACGCTGCTCTCACGGCCTGCCTTCCCCTCCTCTTGTACCTGATCGAATTCATCTCTCGCATATCCCCACTCTTTCCAAACTTTCCCGTCCTCTCTCATCTCGATCCTCCACCTGCTGCCCCGTCACAACGTCGACAGCAAGCACCTCTCTTCACTTGTTCGGCCTCGGCCTCATCTTCCCCACAAAGTTCCAGTCGATCGCATGATGGCGAGTGCAGACAGGAGGGTTCTCAATCGTCCATGGCCCTTAAACTGACCGTCAGGCAATCCGCTGAGATCCGAGGGCAAGGGTCTTGGTTGCCCTGGAGGGGAGGGTTACCACCTTGGTTCAGCAGCGAGTATCCAGCGAAACAATGGCGGCGAGCCAACAAGCGCAAGTCAACATCAGAGAGCTGAGAGAAGCCATGGATGTCCTGCCACTTCTTGTTTTCCTCAAGGTTGGGGATGCGGAGGTCGATGAAGAGACTAGGGGTCTGCAGGTTGTACACTGACTCAGTCCTGCTGTCCGAGTGTATCCACCCTCCAAGGAAGAGAGGGCGGAACCATGCCCCGACAACGATGTCGTGCGTCCTCTTCTCTCTCTTCCACTTGCCGAAGGCTGCGTGGGTTGATCCTTTCACCTGAGGACGGAAGGGGGGTCAGAACGGGAGGGGTAGAGTTGAAACTTCTTCAACTGGAGCTCCAGCGCTCACTTGCTACACAACAAGACTGGTTGCATGACAGACGGCAACGACAATGTCACGATAGACGCACGAGAACACCATGGCGGCATGAACGCTGCTCTATCGACGTCAACACATCTCGCACATCCTCGCGAGGATCCCCCCGACAAGCACGCCGCTACCTCTCCCTCTCCACCTCACGCCCAGGGTCACCCAGGAGCATGTCCTTGCCTTGTGGAAGTGCGGGAGGTCTTCTTCCTTCCATGAGAATCGAGGAGCATCGAAGAGCCGCTCGATCCTCCCTCCCCCGCTCACCATGACGCCCTGCTCCTTGCTCCATTCCATCTAGGAGATGGCGAGCCTGCCTCAGAACAGGGGGCGCTGCTATGCCGCTACTGGAGACGACGGGGAGGATGGTGGACGCGATGAGAGAGGTGCGGGCGTCGGGGAAGCTGACGAAGGAGGAGCAAGACCTCCTGGTGAGTTCTCGCAACAGCCGCTCTTGCTCGCAGTGCTCATCATCCCTTGATGCCCGTCCTACCTCTCGCATCTTCCTGCTCTTGTCGCAAGTGACTTGCGGTACTGATGACCATCTCGAGGCAGACAGTCTTGCATCCTTGTTCTCTTGCCCGCTCTTGACATGTGTGGATCAGGACCGATTTGGAACAACGGCGAAGGCCTATCCTTTAGAAGTTGTAGAGCTCCTGCGCTCCAAGTTGACGCCGCGTCCTTGTTTGCACGAGTTACTGGAGGGGAGCAGGATTCCTCTTCCTGACAAGCCTGCTCCACGGAAGAAGTCTCCTGAGTTGGAGGCAAGGCTTGCCAAGATCAAGGCGCAGATCGAAGAGCAGGAGTACGACATGATGACAAGAGACGTCCGGAGGGCAGAGTTGGACCAAGGGGATCCCTCAGATTTTAAATCTGCCTCAGGCGCTATAGGGGAGGGGCTCAATGTGCTTGTCACCAAAGGCACCGCCTTTGCTACGGGATATTATGCATCAGTCGCGGCATGGGGAACGGATCCGTTCTGGAACACGATCGCGGGGCTAGTGGGGCTGATCATCGGATTTTTCATCGAGACGACCCTGTTTGTTGCGAGGTCGTCAAGGGTGATTTCTGAGCAGGACATGAGGAGGAGGAGGGACAGGAACAAGCTCTCGGGTGTGGACAAGATCTCTCAGATCATCGAGACAACAAACTCTTCAGGGTCGACACCTCAGGGTGAGATATCGGCTGAAGGCAGCACTGAAGGCGGAGACTGAAAGATGGTGTTGTGTGAGTAAAACATGGTCTGCATGCTGTTGAACATGTGGAGATGAACGACGGACAGGAGAACAGACGATGGAGCGAGGGAGAGGATAGGCAGAGAGGAAGGGAGAAGTGGTAGACGAGGGAGAGAACGAGAAGGAACTCAGTCTTGACTAGATGGCGAGCGACTGAGGGGTAGGAGGAGGAGGAGGAGGAGGAGGAGGAGGAGGAGCGAGAGAGCAGCCGCAACGGGAGGAGAGAGAAGATGTCAGAGCATGACTGGCACGATGAACTATGAGTGTACTTGCGTTCTACTACCAGTCGCTTCCTACGTATTTCTCCTGGATGTCTCTCTGAACCATACCCCACCCCGAGATACTTCACAATTCTATCGAAAAAGCAGGGGTAGTCCGCCGCCTTTCGGGATCCATGTCTCGACACGGCATGCCTTATCATGCCCGGAGGACGACGTTGGCGATCATGGCGATGCTGGTGGTGGCGATCTCCTGTCAGGAGGAGAGAGCAGATATCTCACGGGATCGTCATGCTACATGCTCCCATGCAGATGGAAGTTGCGAGGATGCAGCGCATGGGAGTGATCTTGTCAGTGTAGTCACACCCACTCGAGGAAAGACACAGAAATGGCACGAGCTGCTGTACAAGTGCTTCATGCATCAAACTTACCAGCCAAGGTCAGGAGGAGTAATAGTTTTCAAAGTCTCATGCTCATTTTCAGAGAGCTCATCGTCCTCGATACCTCTAAGAAGCCATCTCCCTTCTTCTCAACGTTGAATCAATCGAATGTGTATTACATACATTTGAAAGTAAGGGCACGATATTTGACCTTCATACCTCACTTTTTATTATCTTCTTTGTTTGACGGACTTTTTCAGAACAACAAGATGAGCCTGGGATCGAAAAGAAACTTGCTCGCATCAAGGTATGCCCTGAATGATATGGAACAAGTGGTTGGATTGACAGAACCTCTTGCAGTGCGAATGGAACGATCTTGGCACATTTTGATGATGACGACTGGTCAACCATCACTGGTCCTCCATTTCACTAATACTTCTTCAAACAGGTACAGCCCTAACTACTTGTCCGTCATGGTAAATGCCCTGTAAGTACTCGACAGTGCTCGAGTATTGAGACCAAATATGACATGTAATCTCCTAGACAGAGACAGAAGGTAGAGTTTGTCAAGCTTTCAGGCTGGTATGTCTACAGCTGCAAATTCAAATACTTTGGATACTTCAGCTCTGGTTGTTCTCGTTTCGCGCTGATCTCGTGGCTGACTGGCCGTTGCAGAGGAAACAGCAGTCTTCGGAGAGGTCAAGGACGATGTGCACGACGGGTAAGCACAGACGCTCTTTTGGAAGTACTTCTTCTTACCTTTGAGAAAGGCTCAAATACTCTCTGTTTCTGGATCCAAGACACGATATCATCCAGGTAGGAGATGTTGAAGCTGGAAGGCCCCCGTGACAAGCCTGTGTCCAAGACATGGGTCATGGGACCGTCAGATGCCTACGACAAGTCCCTTCGAGATGAGACCAGGTTCGGGTTTGGTTTCAGGTTGTCATGGATGAAGGCTGTCGAATCGTGAACTCAGCAGCAATGCAGTTACGTGTACACCAAGTCTTTGGTGGAAAGATTTCAGTTCAACAGAACTCAGACCTTTGGTGAGGACCTGAACTTCATTCATAGAATTCTCCAGGTCAATGTGGCTGTGTCAAAACTTCTCTCCAGTTGACGTTGACGGCAGGCAGGAACTCATGTGCATATTTTCGATGATCGCAAAGGACTTGTCCTTCATGTCCAGGTATGAAGAATCAAACTAATCGATCACAAACAAAGAATGTAAATCTCTGCTCTTTCAGGGGTCTTGGAACTCAGCTAGAATACCCACACAGTATAAGGTGCGTATGCTGAAAACAATCCTATCATACAAGTCCTGTGATAGCATCTGCAGATTCCCCTGCACCTCATTGACATTGTTTTTGACAAGACTGTACTAAATTACACCAGATGTAAATAAACTTCACCTTGTAAATACTTGCATACTTCCGTCTCTGTCATCGGTTGTTCCCTGTACCTGTCAGCATGTGGTTGATGGCTTCTTGTGCACCCTGCGGGTTCCCAGTAGCTGTAGATAACGATCAGGTCTATAATGTCACACAGACGATTTTTGTTCACCTTGTAAGCATCGAGCGTGCAAGAAGACTGCCGTTGAGTGCAAAGGATCGTGTGCAGCCTGATTGCGACTGTGAGTACAACTCTTATGATAGATGATTCGCTCACGGGCTGAAGCTGAATGGCTTCAGCAAAGGAAGCTAGAGCCAAGTCCTTCCTCCCGAACTCCTCGTAACACTTCCCGAAGACGATACAGACTTCTGCTTTCTGCTTGGAAGTCACTGGATGAAATGGTCAGGCTGAGACAAAATCTGCAAGAGATTCGGCTACATGTCACTTGACCGCCCCTCTTTCTTAGGTTCTTCACCAAAACCAAAGCTTTGCCGAATAGGCTGAGATCAACAAACCTATTGAGAAGTGTCAGCCAATCTTAGCCTACGGCAATTTGCTTGCAAACTTTTGAGCGAGGAGGATAACAATCCTGTCAGAAATGTGTCAAGCTGCTTTTGCACTGCAACGGAAAGGATAGAATGAAGCGTGGGTCGAGGGTGATATGAGATGAGAAGAGCTGCGGTGGGAGGGCAGCGGCAATGGAGCAGGCACCTTGGTTCATCAGGGTTCGCAGCAACAGCATCCATGAGATAATCAATTCCCTTGATCACCTGAAAATGCAGATTACAGGAAGAGAAACTCCACAAACAAGGGATGAGCACGATATCTTACATCATCAGTTTCAAAGCATTTCTCTGCCTTGTACACCGCCTCCCAGATTGAATCCTTGTCCTTCTTTGGCTCCTTGAGTGGCTGATCTTGTGAGATCCTAACGAACTTGTCTTCTCGCGCGTCTTCCTTGCTATCCTTCGTCCTCGTCCTCGAGTTCTTGCGCTCCTTGTCCTCTTTGAGAAGTTCGTCGAGCCTCGTAAGGATTCGTGATCGACTGTCTGTTTGCGGCTTCTCCTCGAACTTAAAACTCTCCTCCCTCCTCGAATTTACAGGTCTGCTCTCATATAAGCTACTCTGCCGGCGACTTTGCATGCTCTCAGTGGGTAAACGCTTCCCTTTCTTCCAGTTACGAACTTCCTCTAAAGCAGATTCCAAAACATCATTTTCATGGACCATGTTGAGATGTCTCTGACGGGTTCCTGGTAAGAGCAACTCATACAAGTCCTGGTTGTTGTGGTTCTCGGCCATGTTTTTCTCTGCAGCGTCCTTCTCGTCTTTTAATTTTTGGTACGATTGCGTCAATTCTTCTATCTGGATATGATTCGTCAAATACAGAAATGGGAAGAGAAAACAAGAGAAAGCCGAATCAAGATCGTCGGAGCGGTTTCAAGGAGAACATGTGTTTCAAGACAATACAAATGTTTCGAAAGACTCACCCGGAATACAAGAGCTTCGTTCCAGGCCGCTGCCATGTCTTCCACTAATCCACCACCTCTGGCTTCCCGGCCGAACACACTGACACCCGATGCGCCTCCTGCTCCTGCTCCTGCTCCTGCTCCTCTTCCTCCTCCTCCTCCTTCTGCTGATCCTCCTGCTCCTCCTGCATCTCTTCGACCCCATCCTCTTCCCCACGCTGCGGTCATCAGCGCGTCTCCCGGCATAGCCGTTGAAGCCATCGGGGAGAAATCTTTACTCAACACAAAGTACACTTGTAACGGATTCTAACACCCACAAAACGGTTTTTGGGACCAGGAACTTGGTACTACCCACCCTCTCGTTTAGGCACACCTTGCTTGAGTACCGTTTAAAGTATTGTGAAAGAGGGGGTACTTTTAGTCTTGGTCACTACCCCTGTAGACTACTACCCCATCATGAGAGAGGCAAGGTAGGAAACTCCCGGACGACCACGACCACGACCTCCTCGTCTCCTCGCCTCGCCTCGCCTCGCCTCGCCTCGCCTCTCCTATCCTCGCCTCGCCTCGCCTCGCCTCGCCTCGCATCTCCTTCCTCTTGCTCCTCCCTCGCCCTCTTGATTGTCCTGGTCTGATTCCCGTCTTGGTGCTAGTCCCTGCTCATCCTTGCTCCGACCCTGCTACATCATTTTTCAAGCAGGGTTAGCTTCCATCTATCATATCATGTTTCTGGAGAACCTCACGAACCAATAATATCCTTTCAATCTCCTTGTTTTTATCCCTTGCACAATGACACACCCTTGCAACACATTCGAATCAACCTTATCAGCTTCTCTCTTTCGCCCCAGCAGTCACTCTTTCACCTAGACTCTCTGTCTCCTAGTCTCCAACTTTTCCTCGTCAATACCTCTCTTTCCTTGGGAATCTAATTTCTCGTGTATTCCCTGCCATGTAGTTCTGCTGTCCTGAAAACAGTCTTTCTCACATGTTTCCACGACCATTCTTTCACTTGTAATCATTTTCCTGCCCAATCTACAGGTTCGCGCGATGCCCGGCGAAAGGCCTTCTAGGGGATCTTCAAAGGAATCCGCGCCTGGCCAGGATCAGCAACAACCGCATGCCGCCAGGAGGAACGCAGGCAGAGAAGGGAGAGCAGGCGCAGGCCCTGACCTCTCTTCTGAGCTGATCTCGATGATACACAACGAGGTAAGAGCAGAACTGCAAAGATCTGCCAGGGGCCCTCGTGGTGAAGCAGGTGGCCTGAGGGGAGGTGAAGCAGCAGAGGTCAGGAAGCTGAGGGGAGAGGTCCGCGAGATGAAGCAATGGAGGGCAGTGGTCAGTGGCAGACTAGACCGGATTGAGCAAGAGAGGGAGGCATTCGAGGATAAGAATCGGAAGGAGATACACGAGCTTCAGCAGGCGTCCTGGCAATACAAGGAGCAAATCAACAGGCTGACACGGGAGATGAAGAGCGTCGACGACAATGTTAGCATTGTGAAAGACAACTTGAGCGACCTGAACAGGAGCATGGACACCCGGCTTCTAAACCTGCAGAACGGCATGTTAGAAGGTGTCGCTCAGTTGTTAGGTGTACAGCAACAAACAACTTCAACCCAGCGGAGGACGTCAAATCCAAATTCCTCACCCACTGACGAAGCCAATCAGACCTCGGAGACTTGGCGAGCAGAAGCAGCACAAGACGTGATGCAGGACAATGAAGAGGGAGAGACGAGCCATGCAGATGCAGCGAGCGCTAATGGTGCAGAGCAGATGGAGAACGATCTATTGCGCCAAGTCACTCCCCCAGCAGATGCCTCTGCTCAGTCGAACTTGGAAGAAGCGAGCAGGTTGGTCGAGAAGCTTCATCGTACGTTGCTCTGACCATACAGTTTGCAGGATGGACGAAGACAATGCTTTCAGTCAAGATCCGTTCTCAGAGCCTTCGCAGGTTCCAACCTCCATGTACCAAGAACGGTTCCACCAAGGATCGCCTGTCACCACTACTGTCACCATGCAACAGCAGCCATCTCCCATCACAGCTGAGCGCCTTTCCCGATCACAAACTCCATCTACGTCGAGGTCTCCGGACAGAACAAGGATGGAGTGCAAAATGCCAAGTTTTTACACACAAGCTCTTAGCAGCGACACAGAGGTTCATAGGCACAGCTTTTCCAGCACATGGGAAGGAAACAATCCAGCACCCTCCTTCGGCTCTGATCAGCAGACTTCATGGAACCGCCTGAACTTGCAAGACCAGGACCAGGACCAGGACCAGGACCAGGACCAGGACCAGGATCAGGACCAGGACCAGGACCAGGACCAGGATCAGGATCAGGATCAGGACCAGCATCACCAGGGCCAGGGCCAGGATGGGAGACTCTCGAACGAGGTCGGCAACGATCATGAGAGCGACCTGGAGGAGATCGTCGTGGAGGAGATGGAGCCGGAGGTCAACGAGATTCTTGACTCCGAAGACGAATCACTGGAGGATCGCCAGAAGCTGCTCCAGCACTTCACAGAGGCTGAGATCGACTTCCTGACCGAGCTAGCCGAGGGCCTGAACTGGGAGGGAGGAACGCAGCAGTACAGGCAGGCCCAAGACTGCACCCTAGAGCACTACAAGAGGAAGAGGAGGGACCGTGACATTGTGCAAGGCGCGTTGGTCCTTATGGAGTTCAAGGTCCCGTCCGGAAGGAAGCGGAGGAGGAGCGTCGTCTTGCGCAAATACGAGAACGCGCGGAGGAGGAACCGGCACTGGTGGTGGGGGAAGGTGATCAGTACAAGTCCCGCCATGTCGGAGGAACCGAAGAAGTTCTCCGTGTACTTCGAGGACCACAAGGTCTTCGACTACAACTTCAACCATGACGAGAGGATGCGTGTAGTACGTAGACAGCTGGCTGAGCAGCTCAGGGACGACTGAGCCTCCCTGTCCTCTGCCTCCTCCTTCCCCTTCTTATGCCGAAGGGAATGACTTGTAATGAAGAAGCTATCAAGCTCCCATCCTCTTCCCCTCTCTGTTCCAAGTTTGAGAGCATCCGTTGATTGCGTCGCTTCTCTCTCGTCCTCCTCTTCCTCCTCTCCCCCCCCCCCCCCCCTTCTCCTTTTCCCTCCCTTCCTCTACCTGATACTGTCTGCCATCAGTGACACGATCGGACTGCACAAATGCATTTTCTCCCAGTGATTTTCTCCTTGAATTTGCTGAGAGGGGATGTGGGGCCCTCTATAGTGCGAATGCTGTTTGACTAGTGATGGCTGGGTGCGAAGTGTTGCTGCATGGTGGGGGGGGGGAGAAGGATGACGGGAGAGGAGAAGAGGGAGGAGGGATGGGAAAGGGAAGAAGGAAGAGAGAGGAAGAGGAGGATTCTTGCATGAAGGGAAGGGAAACGAGGAGGTTGATTTCTGACTCATTTTGCAGGCTGAAACTGATTGGATCAGCACCAGCATGTCTTGTTGAAACTTTTTTATCATCCCTTCAGGCAAACTGCACCAACAACATCCATCATGCACTTCAACTATCCCCTCCTCGTCCTCCTCTTGTCCTTTGCCCTCTCTAGCGGATCTGCTTCCTCCACAAACTGCTCAGCCTCCGAAGCAACTTGGTCGATGGAAGGGACCTGCGGCAACGCGACTGGAACGAGCGCGGCGGGAGTGATCACGGACGGGCCGGGCGACTACTCGGCGTCCGAGCGATGCTTTTGGAAGATCACCACCAGCGCAGATGTTGAGCTCAAGTTCCAGTCCTTCGAGACTGAGCCAGTCCTGGACAAGCTGCAGGTCTGGTCCTGCGAGTTCTGGTCAGAGGAGATGCCATGCACAAACTGCGACAAGGTGCTGGCGTCGTTCGACGGCTCCCTTGGAAGCTTCAACTTCACCGCCAGCAATGCAGGAGGAGGGAGACGTTGCGTTACTGTCGCCTTCTACACTGACCCGATGACTCAGCTGTTAGGGTTCTACGGGGACTGGAGCTTGAAGTGTCCTCCCCCGCAGTAGAGGAGAGGAGAGAGGAGAGAGGAGAGGAGCGTGGCTGGTTGCAGGAGGGAGGAGGGAGAAGTGAAAGGAGATATAGGTTGTGTTTCACGTGAAAGTTTACAAGAGAAGATTTCAAACTCATCGTAGCCCCAACGACTTCTCGATCTCGTCCGGAAGCCTGCGGAACCAACTGGACGCAACCTGCTCGTCAAGTCATGGACGTGAAAGATGAGGGGAGGAGAAAGGAAGGAAGCAAACAGGAGGGGAATGTGGTAGCAGGAGGACAAGGAGGAAGGAGGAAGACGGTGGTTGCGGGAGTAGGCAACGAGAAGAGGAGCAGGAGGAGCAGGAGCAGGAGCAGGAGCAGGAGCAGGAGCAGGAGCAGGAGCAGGAGCAAGAGTGCCTTGAGTTTGTGATCGGTGGAGGGCATTCTGATAAGGTAGACGGACCCTGCAAAACAAATTCAGCACGAGGAGGCGGCACCCTCGTTCCACTCACGTCTCAGCAGATGGGCGAGCTTGTCGTCCAGCTGGAGGCCGAAAGCCTTGGAGCTGAGAGAGGCAGTGTATCCTCCTAGAGAGAGCATCTCCCCCAAGTCCTGGACCCCATGAGGTCAGGAGGAGGGAAGGGAACGATAGGGGCAGAGTCAGGAAGCAGCAGAAAGCATGGGGTGAGGAGGATGCAGGAAGGGGGAGGGGTTGAACAGGACGTAGGAGTTAGGTTGCAGGGAGAGGAGCAAGGAGCGAGTAAGGAGAATGTAGGATTGAGTGAGGAGGGGGTCGGGGTAGGAGGCAGAGCCAGGAGGCAAGGCAGACACAACCTGACGCCTGAAGGTTAAGGGGACCCCTCCGGTGAGGTCGGCGACCACGTTCCATGCGGCCACTTCAGCTTGTTGCATCGCAATCTGACGTCGAGCAAGTGAGCAGACTTGGAAGCCCCTCCTCCTCCTCCTCCTCCTCCTCCTCCTCCTCCTCCTCCTCCTCCTCCTCCTCCTCCTCCTCCTCCTCCTCCTCCTCCTCCTCCTCCTCCTCCTCCTCTTCCCTGACCCACCTGAGCCGTGGAAGGGACAGGGGAGCCGGAGGAGTCGATGCAACGCGCGATGTCCCCAACGGCGTACAAATCTTCTTCCTCCTTCACCTGTTGATCCTCAGTGCATGATGGGGATGACAGGGAGGAGGAAGGAAACCTTGAGCATGTCGTTCACATGGATTCTCCCATCTTCCTCCTGCACGTCGAGACCCTGCAGCATCGTTGGCGTCCACGGCAGATGAGCAGCACGAAAGTCTCACGTTGAGGACCGAGGGGCGCGAGGAGGAGGCGCGGATGATGATGTCGAACTTGTCTTCAGCAACTGCCCCGTTGTTCTGCTTCCAGGAGACCGAATCGTCTTTGATCTGCACATGGGGGGTGTTATTTCTCGGAATCACTTGAGTGATCGCAAACCTCGACGACTTCCGTCCGCAAGAATTTCTTCACCCCAAGTTCTGCCAGCCTCTGTGTGGCAACGATGCGGTTGTACAGGTTTGCTCTTGGCAGGATCTGAGGGCGGTCAAGGTAAGAGAGCCAAGGGAACATGTGTAGAACTCACTTTGTCTCCCCGTTGAAAGATGGTGATATCAACATTCTTTTTCATGTTGGCTGCGAGGCTGAGCAGCAAGACGTTCACATTCTGATCCTTCTCCATTTCAAATCTCCATCATCACCTGCAGGACAACTCGATGCCGGGGTATCCTCCACCGACAACAGCAATCTTGATTGGTTCTGCCAGCAACGATCATCAACATCCGGAGAAACTCAGATAAGTCCCTACTTTTGTTCGCAAACTTCAGCCCTGCCAGCCTTGCTCGCAGTTTCTTCGCGTCTTCAAGACTGTTGGGCCAAAGGTCAGGTCCCATGGAAGGACGTCAGAGGACAGTGGCTTGCCGTTACCTTCTGAATCCGAAGACGCCAGGCTCTCCTTCCTTCTCGTCCTGCATTCAAACATTCACCTCCTCACGCAAGGTCACAGAGCAACCTTGGAATTTCCTCCCGTCGCTAGGATCAGCTTGTCATAAGACACCTCTTGCTTCCCCCCGCCTGATCGAACAATAAATATCAATGTTGCCTGCTATTCTCCTCTGCACCTGAAAGAGAAGCAAGGTCCACAGAGATGGTCTTGTTGATTTTGTCCACACCTACAAGCATCTGTCAACTTGGAACTCGATTTGTTTTCGCCTTTCCATCACTGCGTGCGTTATCCCTCCATCTCTCCTTCCCTGCCCTCCCTCCCTCCTGGTCTCCTTGCCCCTCCCACTTCGTCTTACTTTGTGCCTTTCCTTGCAAAAACTTGACACCCGTGCCCTTGAGCACATCAGTGTAGACAGGAGCAACCTGAAGGAGTAGTCATGCCCTGTACACAAGGGAGGAGGGAAACACCTCCCAATCTTGCAGCTCTCCGGTGACCAACTCATAGAGGAAAGGGGAATACACGAATCTGCACCGTAGCTCATTCATGTTTCAAACACCAGAGTTCAACTCCAACCTCTCTGAATCTGAGATGAGAGTTACAGATGTTTCCTTGGACTTCCCTTTGGCCTCTAGATACTTGGCGAGGTTCAATGCTGTGTACAGGCCCCCGAATCCTCCCCCCACAATGCAGATGCGCTTCTCTGACCCTGCTTGCGAGCAGACCGGGAACGTTCGACGAGTCGATCTCCCTCTTGCCGTCGATAAGGTAGGAGGGCGATGACTTTGACTATGGCTAGCAAGTTTCTGACAGTTGAGAGATGTGAAGCTGGGGTTGAAGCTAGCGATGAAGCCGGAAGAGAAGCTGGGATTGCTCATGACGATCAAAGTCGCCTGCAGATTTTCATCATTCGGAGAGCAAACACGTTGTCGCTCCCATCCTCTCTCTCGACCTTCCCTTCCATCTCTCATTCTCTGCCTATCGCTTCCTTGCCTTGACTAAAATTGATGTTGGCCTAGATACAGAGTTCTTAGCACCTTGTCCTCCCTTGTTGAGTGACAGTCGTGTAAGACAGAACTCTATTCTTCTCTGCCTATCACCATATTTCTCTCACTTCACACCCAATTTCTCTCCCATTGTTCAATCATCATGAGCACCAGCAGCAGCACCAGCAGCAGCAGCACCAGCACCAGCACCAGCACGTTACTGACCATGAAGAACGATGTTCCAGCCATAGCGCAAAATTCCAGTCGATCGACAATCTGGTTTTCTTCTAGTACCCCGACTTTATCGTATCATTTGAATCGAATATTGGGGGTGGTATACTAAAAAAATTAAGAAAAAACGTACAAATGGATTGTTTACTAAAATGTGTTTACTCATTCAATCTTTCTATTGTTTTCCACTCCTTGAGTGTTGGTTCCAGAAAAAAGAAAACCCTAAAAAAATCTCCGTAAAAGGCGAAACCGAGATCCGCCGCATGGTGGACTAAAAGAGAGTGAGTGCAGGAGCAGCAGCAGCAGCAGCAGCAGCAGCAGCAGCAGCAGCAGCAGCAGCAGCAGCAGCAGGGAGAAGAGGAGGACCACTCGGGCTGTGAGACGTCTTGTACGAGTTCGTGCAAACTATCGACACCAGACTCTGGGGACTAGAGATTGTTCACTTGTAAAAGTTCATGCCGCCCAGCACCCTCATGGCAAACTCAGCACTGCGATCCATCCTCTGCTTCCTCTTGTGCTCGCTGTTGGCTCCCAGGACTCTGAATGAGGCGGTTGGAATGGAAAAGCCTTTGTCGTTTCCCCGGCACGAAGGCGATGCAGCCGCAAAGTTGCTCGGAAGGGTGATGAAGGCAAGCAGAGAGCAGGTGAGGCTCGTGCTGGAACCCGGCATGCACACTCTGCGGGAGAGCAAGGGTGCTGACAACGAACCGCTGACGTTGAGTGTTGTGAAGCACGATATGGATTACGACGTGTTCAAAGAGCATTGCAAGCGATCGTTTCCCGACAATCAGACACGTGAAGAGGACATGGGACCGCACGATCTGTTCGACATTCTTGACTCTACCCCCACAGCTAACCACCCTGCCTTTTCTGCATCTCCTCCGGGTTCTCAGATGGTTCAGCCCGACCTTGCAGGCAGCAACGATGGGTCAGATGAGGCTGGGAATCCCTTACGGTACCTCCCAGGAATCCTCAGCCCCTCGTGCTGCCTCCCTCCCACCAGTCGGCTCCTCCTCCGAGGCAACAGCTCCCATGACCAGAAGCCCCAGGTTGAGGGTTCTTGGAAGCTACTCAACAGCTCACGGGGAGTCTTGGAACAAGTCCACTTCTCCAACCAGCACGGGAGCATCTTCGAGGTGCTCTCGGGGCCATGGGAGTTTCGGTCATGCCGGTTGGCTGCTGCGGGCCCGTGGCTCGTTGGCCCGGTCTGCATCTTCGGCAGGTGTGAGGCCCTGATCAACGTGTCGGACTGCAGGTGACAGTGAACTTGGTGGAGTCTAGTTGACTGACAGTTGAGGTTTGACTCGCGTCAAGGTTCGGGAGGCTGGAAACGGGCAGGAAGCGAGATGTCGCCCATCATGGAGTTGCAGCATCAGGCAAGACAGTCTGCCGCGTGAAGAACTCATGCATGGAGGTGTGAGGAAATTCTGTCAACTCCTTTTCATTTCCCCTCCGTTTGCTCCTCTGCCCCGTCCCATCTTCCACCTTCCTCACTGCTCTCCTCCCTCTGCCTTCACTTTGTTGACATCTTGTTTCCGGCCCTCTTGTCTCTTGTCAGGAATTTCGCATGTCAGACGTCTCTGCTACCGACGAGTCCAGCGTCTCCCTCTCCAATTCCGTCCTGCAGTACAGCAACTTTGCTGTCTCTCTTGCTTCCCAAGCTCGAGTCAAGCTGGAATCCTGCGAGCTGAGAGATCACAATTACTCTGCCTTCATCTGTCCAGGTCCACCGCAAAGCCCCCTCTTCGCGTTCGCTTCCCCTTTCTCATTCCTTCCTCTCGATCTCCGTGGCTCTCGTGTCCAGACCAGCACTCCTGACGCCTTTTGGCCATCTGCTCCATCGTTCCACCCCCTCTCAATCCCATTGTGAGTCTTCCGTTCACTGAATTGTCCTTGCAGAGCGACAGCGTTGTCACCTCGTCTCGAAGAACGTCTCGATCCTTGGCAGGGTTTGGCATCTCCCCTTCCGGCCCGAAGGGACTAAACCCCAAACAAACTCGTTGACTCTCTCACCCCCAATGGCCATCCCGGGACGCGAGGACACGCGATGGGAGGTAGGAAAGGAATCCCTTACATTCGTTGTTGTTGTCCCTGCTCCTGCCCCTGCTCTTCCTGCTCCCTACTCCTGCACTTACTCCTGCTGCTGCTGCTGTTGCTGCTGACTTTCTGTCTCCTTGAACATCGCAGTTTCCGGAGACTTACGTCAACGGCCGCACGGAGCTGGACGACAGAGGTGACAGCAAGGGGACCTAAGTCCTTCTCACGATGTTGTCAGTGTTTGACGATCATCTGCTGGCGCTTCCCAGCTCCTGCTCAGAGTACGAGGAAGATGAAGGCTTCGCCTCGCAGGTGGGCAGGAGGCAGCTGGGCAGTAGCATGACCTTGTTCCCTCAGCTTCGTCGTGCCATTGAGGCTGAGGCACAACAGGGCCGGCCAGTCGCCCCCGCCAACTTCTCCTCCTTCGTCAGTGACGTGCTGGGCTCTATGAAGCTGGACGTTTTCGCCTAGCTCTTTCGTCGCAGCCCCGTCCTCTGCCCCCTGGACTGGCGCAATTTTCTTCTCCTCAATCTCCGGCTCGTCCCTCCCCTCCTTGTCCTTGCTCTCGTCCTCGCCCCTTCCTCGTCCTCCTCTACAGCCTCGGGTCGGGCTGAGGGAAATAGCGCTCCGGAGCTCCTTGGGCGGTGAAGAGAGCAGCAGTGGTTGCCGAGTAGTCGAAGAGATGGTACAGGACGGCGTCGGAGGGATGCCGCGGGCTCTGGAGGAGACATTCTGCCATGGGGAGGGAGGGGCAGGTATCTTGACTGACAACCTCGTGCTGGCTCAGGGAGCAGGACTCCATGAGCTTCGAGAGCATGCAATACCCCTCACCTGCAACTTTGTCAGACGTTTCAGAAGGAGCTGGGCTGCGGCTGGGAACCGTGGTTTTGGTTGGCAGCGTATTGTCGGGAGGTAGCGGAGGCAACGACAAGGCAGGTGGTGTTGGTTGTGAAGGGGAGCAGTTGGAGGAAGACATCGTAAAAGTGACGGGTGACCTAGAGGCCGAGAGGGTGTCAAACAGGTCTGGAGCAGCTGGAGAAGTGCTGGGGATAACAACTCACAGGAGCGCGGTATTGGAGGTACATGTCGGAGGTTCTGAGATCGTAGAAGGGGAGGAAGGTCGACCACCACTTGCTGTTGACGGCATCGATGAGGCAACCCTGGACTAGCTCGCAGACCTGAGGGACGTGCCAGGAGGCCCCGCAGGAGATGGCGAGGGGGTCAGCGACATGGTTCTTGACGATCCTCCTCTGCAGGATGATGTCGTTGACAAGCTGCTGCGCATCCCGTCGCTTCAAGCACGTCCGGACGGGGATCGAGGCCTCAGCTGCGGTCGGGAGCGTTAAGTTCAGCCTTGTCCTGCACTGCGCCCTGGTTGCCTCGAGAGTCTCGCTCATGTTGGAGAGGACAAGGACGCTGGCAGCCTGCTCCTGCTCGCACACCACGGACCTCGCAGCGACAGAGGACGTGACTGTGAACGTCTGCGCTGCGACGGTGGGCCAGCTGAAGGATCGTTGGAAACCCAGGAGGAACCCGAGGGGCTGCGTCTTGTTCCAGTGCAGCAGGTCCTCCACCACCAGCCTCACGTCAGCCCCAGCTAAGATGGCAGACGCGTTGACGTAGGCATCGACGACCTGGGGCTCCCCCGTCACATCGCTGACGTAGGTCAGGACAACTTGGTTGCGGTGCGAGTGAGGAGACGACAACAAGGGAGCGAACATGCTGGACGCATGCCTGTCAAGCAATGCCCTGCTGCTGGGGATGATGCTGAACTCCAGCTGGGAAGGGAAGACTTCATCCCCCTTCCCCATGGGGCAGGCGGGCCCAACGAAGGCAAGGAAGATCATCAGCCCTCCGCTGACGTCCAGGAGGAGGCCGCACACGATCTCGAGCACCGCAACCTCCGCCGGCTTTCCCCTGCAGTCTCCCGTGCATGCGATCCCTGTGGCGTTGCAAGTGCCGCCCGGCATCGCCCCCGCGGCGAAGGTCTGCGACTGGACGGCTGAGGGATCGAAGGGGAGGAGGCAGTCGCCGCGAGCTCCTACTTCAGCAGGTGCGCTCACGCTGCAAAAAGAGAAGGAAGTTAGCATAGGTTTGCAGTTCTCCCTCCTCCAGCTCTACCAGGCGATGAAGCCGACCATGCCGTTGCACTTGCGGACCTCCGTCCAGCTGCCGTAGGTCGATCGCACCTGCCATGGCCAGAGGCGCAGGGAGCTCATGTGCATGGCGCCTCTCTCAGACACTAGCGTGCGGGACAAGTTGGCGATCTCCCCGCTGCTCATCCCGATCACGATCGTCGTCAGTCCTCCTGAGATGCAGGTCTTACCCAGCTCGAACGTCCCGTTGGCGAGGCAGCGGGGAGAAGCACTGCCTTCCTCAGACAGCACGAAGCCCTCGTCGCAGCGGATCCTCACGATGCCGGGGAAGAAAACTTCTCCGACCGGCTCCACGAAGCCATACCGAGGAGGGAGCAAGGAGCCGCAGCTCACAGGATCGCAGCGAGCGTCGAGGATGTGGGAGAAGTCCGCGCGAGGGCGGCTGATGGGCGTCCCTGTCACGTAGCCTGACCGATCGTATGAATTGTCAAACACAGTGTCAATCTCCATCCTGCCCAACGAGGAGACGCATCGGGGGCTCGCCCTGTCCTCTCCTCCTCTGTAGTTGACGACCAGGCGGTAGCCGTCGTTGCACGTGAGATTGATCGAACCCCACACGGGAAGGGAACCTGGCGGCATCACCTGCCCGTTGAGCAGCCCCGGATAAGCCCCGCAAGTTCCTTCCCTCTCCTGCTCGCACGTCTTCCCCTGCGTGAATGAGCCGTCAGCCTGGCAAGTCGGGGCCGCGTTGCCTCCGTCGGATAGGATGTAGCCCTTCTCGCACACGATCGTCACTCCTCCTCCGAAAGTGACGTCATCTGCCGGGAAGACGGAGGCGTTGGGAGGAGGTGGATATCTCCCACATGAGACAGGAACGCACGTGATGCTGTCCTCGAACGTTCCTGACGGCAGACACAGTGGACTCGTCGTGCTGTTGGAAGAGACGTTGACCGGGCGGTAACCATCATCACACTTCACCTGCACTCTCTCTCCTTTCTTGACGATCCCTGGCGGCGTCGAGTGGGCGTGGGGTGGAGTTGGAAAGGCTCCGCAGTCCTTCACGGGGGACTTGTGCCTCCAGCTCACTAGCGTGCTCAGACTTCCAGTCTGGTTGATCGAAGAACACGTCATGCTGCCAGGGTAGATGTCCTGATCTTGCCAGACGATCTTCTTGGCATCAGCGACAGACAGGACGATCGGGTTCCACAACACGCTATCAGGAGGATTGTTTGACATGTCGGACCTGATAGCAATGCCTAGGGTGATGCCATGTTGGATCGACGAGTTGGTGACTGCAGAAGCATACAACAAGTAGCCGTTGGTCGCAAGACATAAGTCTGAGGAAGACTCCTCCATGAGTGGGAGTGGCTGCTCCAGTAGCACTGCACGAGAAGAGTGAGCGGATAAGCAAGGAGAAGACAAGGGAAGGGGGCAGAGGCTGGAAGGGATTCGACAGGACAGGTCAATGCAGGTCAGAACAAGTCAAGTCAGGGAAAGAAAGGAGAAACAAACTTCTTTCTAGCTGCACCTTGATCGTTCTTAGGGTTTACTCTTCCTGATGCCAGCAAGGTTCCAGGACTTCCCGTCCGCCTGCTGTAGGCGATCACGAAGTTCTGACGAGACACTCCGACGACGAAGGCTCTGTTGACGTCCTCGTCCACCATCTTCGAGGGACCCAAGGACACCTCGGAGCCAGAGACGTGCGCGTGGAACACGAAGAGCTGCTTCCTGAAGTTGGTCGCCAGGATAACGAGCTGACTGTAGAGGTCGTCGCTGACGTGAAACAGCTGCGCTGCTTGCATGATCTCTACCCCGTCCTCCTCGAAGATGCTCCCAGGGTTAGAGTTGACGGTGAACCCTCGCAGGGTGGCTCCTGATTCGTCGACCAACACGTCCTCCACGCTCACGTGCGCGGAGATGGCGACCGAAATCTGCTGCGCGAGGAGCTTCGAGCTCGATCCCTGCGGCCCTACGGGAGGGAGGAACTCCTGGCCCACCTTGAGGTCTTGATGCTTGAGGAAGTTCCAGTCCGGGGGCGTCAGCCATGGTCCGGGAGTTGCGAGAGAGAAAGAGACCCCGAGGGTCAGAACTAAACAGGCCGAGCACTGTGATCCGAAGGTTGTCCACATGTTATCCTACTCGAGAGCCCATCCCTCCATCACGGTGAACCTAGCCTCAGCTTCTCCTCCTCTTACCCTGCTACTCTACCCTCCCCTCCCCTCCCATCTTCTCTCTTCTCCCATGTTCCCCTGGCTCACCTCACCATGTGGTCTGCAAGTTCTCATTGGAAAGCTGCATGTCAGTTGTCGGGACAAAAAAAAGTCAAAATGATGAAACCAAAAATTTGCCCGGGAACCGGGAGGGCCTGACAGTCCCGGAGTCCGATCAGTCACTGGTAGTCGGACCCGGCGGGACTCAGCCGGGCCAAGCACAACGATGTAGTTACTAACCGCGGTACAGCGACATTGCTGGCATGGCGCGGGGGAATGGTCCTGTGCAAAGGTAAGTGAAGGTATCAGTTAAGCCTCTACTCTCAGGCTCCTGCAGCGGACTACACAGACGGTGCGGCCTCAGTGGCGGCGGGCCCCGGCAGTGACTCGGACGGACCGGAAGCACCGGGTAGTCACACTGACTGATACTGCTGGATCGGTCAGGTGACGTCACGAGTCTGACAGCCTGCCGACATAGGCAGGGCCGAGTCCGACTTTTACTCAAAGTTAAGTCGAGTCAAGCTGCTCCACAGCCGGGCTGAGGGCAGAAGCAATCCGGAGTGTGGCCCAAAATTTAGGCCGCTAAGCCGCGCAGTGACTCCCGGAGTAGCTGACCCGGTGACCCGGGCTGGCACTGCACATCAACTTGGCTTAGAAACGGCTTGACAAGCGAAACTGAGACGGAGCACAAGTTTGTTAGACTTGTACTGTGCCAAAGTTGAATGCAGACACCATATCGACCTTAGTTGTAACAAGACAGTTTTTTGCTCAAGACCGAGTCTAATGTACACAAAACCAGAATTGAGGAGCACATGAGAGATAAACAGTATGCTAGGATGTGAAACCCAAGCATCCAGACATGAGAGGACCTTAGCAAGACGGCTAGGAAAGCCCCCTGCTTCGTCCCGGGCCACATACTACATGGCCGCCTTGAAACACGTAAGGGTCGTCAAGACCCAACAAGGACAAGATTGCAGCATATATCGCTTGCATACCACGCTCTGATGCATAAGCTGTCGTTTGAGCTTTAGACCGCCTCCATCCGACCACTCCTCGCTGAGATATGCTCCGACAAGTGCAGGAGTGTCAGGAGGGGGTTGGGGGCTGCAGGACGAAGATGCGGCGTATCCAAGACCCAACAAGGACAAGATTGCAGCATATATCGCTTGCATACCACGCTCTGATGCCTAAGCTGTCGTTTGAGCTTTAGATCGCCTCCATCCGACCACTCGGTTTACCGTACAGGAGAGTTTTGTTAACTCGACGCTATCTGACTGGCACGCGGCTGGCCGCTCATGTGATCCATCAAACTGGGAGTGTGATCGGATCGGACATCTTGGCACACATGCTAAGGCCGGGCCCAAGGAATTCTCGATAGCATGCCAGGGCTGAGGGGGTCACGGTGTGCCCGGGCCGGCAGAAAGGTAGGCAAATTGCTGAGGACCCGAACAGCTCAGTACGGTACAAATTTGCGTCAGATCACAAATATTTGAATATCGTGTATAACAAAACAAGCTCGTTCAAATATCCTATCAATAAGAAATCCCTAAGTACCGTGAGGAAATAATGCCGAGAGCAGTTTTCTCAGCAGGTTGCCAGCTAGTGATAAATCATATATCACGCATTTGAATCAAGTCAGCGCCAAGGCTGATAGGAAACCCAACATTGATGTCAAAATTTCGCAGCTCAGAGATAGCTGGGTCCTCTCCTTGCTCCAGCTGAACCCCGTAGAGCTGATTATGGTCGAAGAACTCGATGATATGGCCATGGTTGGGAGGAGGAGGAGGCTGGTTAGGGTCCACCTCACCGAACATTTGGAGCGCCTCGCAGATGGTGCAACTGCCGGACTGATTCGAAGATTTCTTCCCAGCCTCGTCGTCCAAGAGTCCTCCGAGCGAAAATGAACTCAGGGTCTCGTCCTCGGCCATGGCCGGCAGAGAGACGACGTCTTCTGGCTCGGGGACAACCTGGAACGCGAAGTCTGTGACGTTTTGTTCACCCTGAGCAGTATATGGCAGGGGCTGGTCATCGTCGTGATGCAAAATGTTCCGCTTCTTCCTTGGCCTCCTGTCTTTCGATCCTACTGGCCTGCCGGGCTTCTTGGCCTGCTTGTTGTTGGCCTTCTCCACATATAATTCGATCTCCTCTCGCGTCCACATGCTCTGCGTTGCTTTGATCCATGTGCGCTTGTTCCAGATGTCTCGTACAGCCTTGGGGCTGATCCTGTATTGGTTGCTCAACATGGTGCTCGAGAGCACGGTATCTGAGTCTGAGTTGCCATGGGGCCTCTTGCTGTAAATTTCTCGAGCTTCTTCAAAACTCAAGGCCGCCTTCCAATGAGCCTTATTCTCGCTTTCCATTTCAACTTTTTCCAATCAGCAAGTGATATTCCAACAGTCTTCTGCTCCCACCCTCTTAGATCGCGGGTGCTTACGGTTTGTCTTTTGTTAAGCTTAGAAGAACAACGAATCGACAACGCGGGCGTGTATATAATAGATTGCCGTGAATCTATCTCCTTCTAACTTCCGTCTTGAAAGGCTATTAATAGTGAGAAAAATCAAGACGTCCACAACAGATTTGATACAGGTCACTGCAATAAATATGAGGCAGCAGGGACAGAAACCTCGACAGAGTTGTCAACGAGACTTCAGAGTTCGAGGGTGGGCCAGAAGTGCAAAGGGCAGCAGTGTTGCTAAGGAGGGAAGGTACAGATAGTAGATAAACAGAGATTTTTGACGGGTTGGGAGGAAGAAACACAAGTCTAAGTGCAATGATAAGCGCAGTTACTGCATGAGTTCTAGCATATGCTTCGCTCGCGGATGTGGACGCGAGTAGAGAGGCGCGAGGGTAGGGTAAGATTCCGTAGGTGGGTAGGGGTGAACCTTAAATCTAGGGTGGGGTACACAAAGTTGTGATGAAGCGCCTAGGGGTACTCAAAAGGTTATGGAGAGAACCGGGTATATTTCTGGTCAGAAATGGGGTTGTTAACTGAGTGGGGTGGGGTAGGCGGGATGGAACCACCCCCACCTGTTTGTGTACCCTACCGATTGAGGACTGAAGTTGGCGGTGTGGGTGATGAACGGGTAGTCGGCAATAAAGTTGGGGAGAAGGGGTCGGGCCCCACTGGTACAAACCAAAGAAGCTGGTAGATACGGTGGGTACTGTAGAAGGAGTAGAAAGTAGCATCAAAGTAGGGGTCCAAGACTTTGAAATGAAGGGTAGGGGTAAAGGGGGGTAATTTTTTGGGTGGTCCTGGTAGGGGTGGGGGACTGGGTAGGGGAGGCATTTGGTGTTGTACCAGCGGCCGGCCCTGATCGGTAGACTCAGTGTGGGGTGGGTGGGGGTTATCCTTCTCTGGGCTATTTTCACAGGAAGCTCGTGTAAAGGGGGGTGGGTCTGGGGGTGGGTCCGATGCAGCATTGAAGTTGTCTCTCTTAGTTGACTGATCAGGATCCGGTGAGGCGGGCCCGAGATTGTTCAAGCCTTGAACTTCCGACTCAGTGACTCTGTGAATGGCAGGGCGGCCGCGCCCGGGCCACTCCGCCGCCCACTGTGACCGTACCCGCGCACGGCGCGGCCGTCACTGAGCGGCGCACTGCGGCATCATCATGGCATGGAACTTGATCGGCGGCCAGGCCGTGAAGGAAACTTCAGGCCGGGCCGCATACGGCGACCGAGTCTTCTTGACTCGAAGCCGCTTTCGGGCCGGGAAATTGAATTGCCGGGTGAGTCAATCGGGTGCAATAACCCCACCCCCCTAGATGTCTCAACATACTACTTACAATGCCACTACCGGTGATAGAAACAGGGATTTTGGGCTCCATTTCATCGAAGAATAGGGGGTGAGGGTAGTTCTTATCACCAGCCAAGTCTCTTATGACGACATTTCCAATGCGTAAGAATGCAATCAGACACCCACCCAATACCCACTACTATAGTCTGGTTGATATGTAGACTAAACATTATTTATATCAATTTTCATGGGTAATTAAGAATATTAAGTGATTTTGAAGGGGTGATCGTGCCCACCCGTTGGAGGGGAGGGGTCAACTTAGGGTTCACTGCCCCCCCTTCACGCATCAGCCGCCGCCATGCTCCGTGCCGCCGCCTTCTCTGCCGCCGTCGCCTCCGCCGCTGCCTTCATGCCCCTTGCGCCAGGCCCTGCCTGCCGCTCTGGAGCCACTGCTGTCAGCATGTGAGTGATCGATCTGACACACAATCGATGGTAGTTGAGTGAAAGGAATGTTGGAACTGTTGCAAGGAGACTGGGTTGAAATGGGGTGAGCGAGTGTTGGCGTTCTGTACAAGAGAGTATCAGTTCGCTTCTTGTACCTGAATGCTTTCGTCGATCATAGCACTTAATACCATAAGATGGAGAGTAGGGAATGTCTTTCGAAAGCACGATGACCTTGTATTATGTTAGTACTCACTCGTGTTGCAGGGCCAAGTTCCCTGGGCAGGCCCCCAACGGAGCTCCTCCGGCTGATCTCTTCAACATCTGGAGAAACGATTACATGCTCACCCCCCAGCAGGCTGCTGCCGAGGTACCATCCATGCTCAGGGCGTCATGTATCCTTACCCGCTGTAACAGGCCGCTGAGAGGAAAAAGAACACTCTCTTCGACGGAGTGTTGCCTCCCTTCTCCAACGTCGGAGAGACCACCTTCGGAGAGGGTAACGACGTTTCCTCGTCCTCTCTTCGCCCCGTTGACTGGTCCTACAGTCGGCACCCCCACCATCAGCGGTCTCGGTGTCGCTCGTGACTTCTCCACCGCCAACCCCACCTCCGCTTACGATGTTGCCAACTTTGGCAAGGTTAATGCTTCTTCACGACCTCTCTTGACTGCTCACTCATGCTCTCGTGCAGACCATCGCTGTGAACCCCGACGTTCTCATCAACCCCAAGACCGGAGCTGGTCCCGACAGGGCCTTCTTCGAGAAGAAGGGTGGCAACGCTCCCTCGCAGCCCCGCAAGCGCCTCTTTGGCAAGTAAACTATTCTAGGGTATAAAGTGAAGGAAAGCTTTCGTGTTCGAAATAAATGATCATGTTTCTTTGGCGATTGCATGCGCGGAAGAATCACCAACACCGATTCAAGACCGTTGCCTTGTACGTGAAAGACGTCAAATGAAGTATCATTCCCAGCATCGTAGTTTTGTTTCATGCGTCTTAGGTATGGATACCTTTATGTCCAACACACACCATCCTATACAAAAGTTGAGCTGAGCTACGTGTTGTGGTGTACTGTCGTATGTTAACACAGTTCATTATGTTTTTTTTCAATCTGTTGCCTTTGCATTTCTCCCCTCCCCTCTCCTGTCTTGCCCTGTCTTGCCCTGCCCTGCCCTGCCCTGCGCTCTCCTGTCTTATCTCAATGTAATTTCTAACATCTGCCTGCTGCTCACCCAAGGTACAGTACCCTTCCAGTGGTAATGGTAACTTAAGTGGAACACTCGACTGGAGTGGTCGCAATGTCGAGCGCTGGGAAGTTGCGCAAGGTAACGAGAACGAGAGCAGGGGGAGCAGGAGGAGCAGGAGGAGCAGGAGGAGCAGGAGGAGCAGGAGGAGCAGGAGGAGCAGGAGGAGCAGGAGGAGCAGGAGGAGCAGGAGCAGGAGGAGGAGCAGGGGGAGCAGGAGGAGCAGGAGGAGCAGGAGGAGCAGGAGGAGCAGGAGGAGCAGGAGGAGCAGGAGGAGCAGGGGGAGCAGGGGGAGCAGGAGGAGCAGAGGGCATTCGATGTAGACCAAGATGCTTGGTCGACACAACGTTGCGACGTCGAAGAAGGATGGCGGCAGTGCGATCAAAATGCAGCAAAGAGCGAGGATCTGCGAAGAATGTCTGACTAGATTTGAACAGCAACTGCCCGGCCTTGTAGAGAAGTTGGATCAGTTTCTTCCCCTTGCTCGAGTGGAGTCGATCCTCAAAGCGTATACGACGTGATGTGATTTGCTCTCCCCGTCGCGTGCTCAATGCTCTGAACAACAGGACAAGGAGGACCACGTTCCGGTTGAATCGTCTCCGTGTGAAAGGGAAGCAAGCAGAGGAAGCGGTGCTGGGAGGGATCCAAGAGAAGCTGGAAGAGCTCTCGAGCAGGAAGCGAGCAGTGCGGCTAGAGAGATGCCCATGGAGCGAAGACGCCTTCATCGTCTCTCCTGCTGGCGTCCAGGTGAAGCACCTGATCGACCTGCATGCTCACAAGCAAGGTCTCTTCCACTTCCAGTCATGGTCCAGCATGATCCCGCCGCTCTGCATCGATTATATGAGGGGAGGGCACCTTCTTGACATGTGCGCGGCGCCCGGGGGGAAGGCGAGCATGATAGCTGAGAGGATGAAGGAGGGGTGCAGGCTGGTGGTCAACGAGAAGGACAGGAGGAGGTACGAGAAGATGTGCTTTATCCTCTCCCAGCTTGTTCCCGACGACCTGCTCCCTGCCCTGTCGTTGAGGAATTGTGATGCGAGGAAGTTCCGGCTAGTGGACGGGGAGCAGGAGGCGTCGGAGGGGAGGCAGGACGGTGAGAAGAGCTGGGGACGTTGGAAGGGGATGATGTTGATGTCCAGGAAGCAAGTTTGACAAGACCATATCACAAGCGTTCGACACTATCCTACTGGATGCTCCGTGTGAGTGTTGGGGAGCGAAGGAGGTGGGAGGAGTAAGGTGAATGAAAGTGAGCAGGTAGCGGGGAGGGAATCATCAATATGGGGGAGCCAGGAAGTTACAAGTAATTAATGCTGTCTTGTGATGGAGATGATGATAGAGATGATGATGACGATGATGTTGATCATGATGATGAGGACGACGACGATATGAACTCGATGTGATGTTCACCCTCATTCAGGAATTGGTCGTTGCAATGGGTTGCCGATCATGTCGCCTTGCAACGACAGCTGCTGGAAACTGCAGTCTCGGTGTGTAGCTGAACTCATGAGTGAGGAGGAGGGAGACGATGACGAGGGTGACAACAGCTGCTGAAGAGAGGTGGGCAGCTGGTATACTCAACCTGCACGCTCAACCCGGAAGAGAACGAGGAGAACGTCGCCTGGATGTACAAAGTAAGATCGAGAGCTCGTTTCGCTGACGCGGGGTGTACAGACTGAGCAGCTGCCCGGAGGTCTCGGTAGAGGAACTTCCTCCTCCTTTCAGAGCCAACGACGGAGGGTTCAGAGAGCAGGATTGTTTCGCCAAGGGCCTCATGGTGACTTCTCGGCTGAGTGGAGGCAGCGGAGTGACGGAGGCGGAGCAGGGGAGTCTCTCGCAAGCCCAGGCAGCTCGTTGCCTGCGCGTTTACCCGTCGGAGACCATGGAGGGTTTCTTTGTGTGCAGGCTGAGAAAGAACTGAAAGACGACGAGGACAGGAAGAGGAAGAGGAAGAGGACGAGGAAGAGGACGAGGACGAGGACGATGGGGTTGAGATGAAGAGGAGCATAGCGACGGTGAGGAGGAGGAGAGGAGAAGAGGGAGGAAATTTGAAAATTGTAAATACGAATGAGGAATTTGGTTTCTCTTAATCGGGGTTGCTTTTCATCTTTTATTTTCTTGATCGTCTACTGCGTATTATTGCTCTCTGCTTCACCTAAAGATGAAATCAGAAGATGTAATTGATGTTTCATGTTTTTTGTTTGGTTTTTATGATGATGATGATGATGATGATGATGATGATGATGATGATGATGATGATGATGATGATATCGTATTTGTTTTTAATGATGATGTGTTTTTGTTACCTTCTTGGGAAGTTTGTTCATTCTTTTCGCACGATTGATCGCTTTCACCTGAAATTCGTGTAAGAGGGCAAAACGTTCGAGACGACAGAACAGAGTTGTAGACGAGGGACGGAAGAAGAAGAGGCAGAGGGAGGAGGCCTGCGGGAGAAAAGGAGGGGACAGGGGGTGGTACCTGCTTCTTCCATTCCTTCTTGTCCATTCCATTCAACGGATCATCTAATTTTGCTCTCTACCGCACGAGTCAGCAGGAGGAGAGAAGGAGAGAAGCTACAGACCTTGTCTTTCCTGCCTCTTTGACGTGCTCCGTCTTCCCCCTCACCTGGACCGCTCCTTTCTAAGCTGTCTTCCTCGTCCCCGGAGCCCAACGGAGAAGATACACTCTCAGGGACATCCTCCTCATTATCATCATCATCATCATCATCATCATCATCAGAGTTGTCGTCGGTGTAGTCTTCTTCTTCTTCTTCTTCTTCTTGTTCTGGACTGTCCTCTAATTTGTTCGCTACCTCTCCTGTCAAGACTTTGTCCAGTCCTTTGTTGACCTTCAGACTCTCTCCCTTCCATTCTCCGTCTGCTTCATCGACTTCGTCGTCCGCCATGCCTTCCTCCTCTACCCTGTACTTGAGGTTTTCACCCATCCTCCCAAAGCCTTCGATACCTTCCGGGCCTCCCCAGGGTCCCCATCCGCTGGAATCCTCCTCCTCCTCTTCCTCCTCCTCCTTCACTCTCTGGTTGGCCTCCTCCACAATCTGCTTCTTCGCCACTAGCCTCGTGTCGATCCCCTGCTGTCTTCCGGTAGAGCTTCCGAGGGAGCTGGCGTTGACCAGCGCTCGCCCTTTCGCATCATACCCCAGACTGCGCAGGATGTCGGATGCTTTCGTGCCTGAAGAGAAGGAAGGAGCACGAGAGGAGGGAGCAGCAGCAGCATCAGCAGGAGCGTCGAACATTGCAGTCTTCGCATCCTCGCGCGCAGCTTGAAGGTCCATCCCAGTCATGACCCCGTAGTTGCGGAAGTCTTGACCCTCCCGGCCCTCTGCAAGTTTCTCGATCTCTCGCTCAGCGTCCTTGAAGTCTGCTAGCCTCTGCGGGAAAGAGGAGCAGAGGAACACTCCTTCCTCCACGTCGTGCTCAGCCTCTTCCGTACGTGTCAGCGGCTGGCCTGACCTCTGCTGATCCGTCTCTTCCTCCTTCGCAGCTTCTTCTGTTTCCTCGGACAAGCTCTGCGTCAAGTTTCGCATCGCGTCTGAGTGGCTGAAGACGGGAGAGACGACGAGCTCGAAGAAGGAGCGGAGGGGAAGCACCGGGATCCCCTTGGAGGAGAAGAAGTTCCGCACGTTGACCGCGTCCTTGCGCAGGAACTCCAGCGAGCAGGGATGGTCTGGTCCCACGGACTGCCCGACGTCGATGACCATCACCTTCCTCCTCACGTACACCAGGTTGTACTCGCTCAGATCCCCATGGACGAGCTTGCAGTCGTGGAAGAGCAGGCGCATAATCAGGAACGTCTGCCTGTAGCTCTCCTGCCATGACTGCCCGTCAAGCTTCACATCCTTCAGCTTCGGCGCCGCTTCCCCTCCCTCCCCCAGGAACTCCATGATGAGGACGTGGGATCTGAAGAGGAGGGGACGAGGGCAAGGGACCCCAGCCAGGTACATCCTCTTCAAATTTCGGAACTCCTTCTCCGCCCACAGGCTAACCATTCTCCTTGGGTTCTTGGAGTAGCCCTTGCGGAAGCGGTAATCCCCCATGACGTACTTCTCCCTGTCCTTGAAGACGAGGATCGAGGTCTTGAAGATCTTAATTGCTACCTCCAGCTCCTCCTCCTCCTCCTCCTTCTTCGTCTCCTCGGACCAGAATAAACCCTTCCCTGAGATATGGGAGTATCCCTCCGACAGGTTCAGAGGAAGAAATTGTTCTGACGACCGAACTCCAACACTCCTGCATGGTAGGGCAGGGAACGAAGCAGGAGCAGGAGCGTGAATAAGAGGAAAGTGAACAAAGTCAGTTGGAATCAAACGAGAGTGAATGGGAATCGGAAGGTATGCAAACTTACAGGTCGATTTGCTCATTCTCATTCCAAGTCTTCTGTATCAATTTGCTCCAGTTGTGATAGTTCGACCCGAACCCCTGAACATCAGCATCAATATCAACATCCAAATCGACATCCGCAAAAGAATCGCCTCACATGATACACGTTCGCCTCCTTCCCTGTGCTGATACATCCTTGCATGCTGTGCAGATATCCGTTGGACATCAGTCTGTCCAGAATTCTTCTCGTGCGTGGATCAAGAACCTTCACGGAGCTCGTCACATTTCCCTGGCGCCAACCACCTCCCAACAAACCCCCTCGACGGTTGCTCGATCCGCCCTGTCCTTGTGCCGCACCATCTTCATGTCATCCTTCTTGTGGGTCCTGCAGTCATCGTCACATGCCAAGGAAGCTTGTCCTCCAACAGCGCAGCACGTGTCGTGCTGGACGTCCTCAAGCCTGCCAAGCTTCGCAGTGGTGATGGAGCCCGCGCGAGGGGGAACGAAAGTTGGGAGTAAGGTCAGATCGACTTTCTCTCTGTCCTTTTGCTGAGAGGGAGGATTGACTGGCGATTTCCATATCTTCGTGTCTTTGTTTTGCTGCTTGATATTCGAAACAGAGGTGTCTCCGAGGTTTAGTTGTGCTCGTTTCAAACTTCGCTCCTGGCATAGGAGGAGAAAGAAACTCTTCAGAACGCCTTTCAGAGAAGGAATCTGCAGTACCTTCAAGCTCACATTCACTGCAGTATCTTTGGAGACAATGTCATCGATGCTTCTTGTCTCGTTGACATCAAGTATCGTCGTCTGTAGATCGCAACCTTGAAAATCATAAGCTGCATTCTTCTTGGTCTTCGATAACTTTCTCTCCTTTCTCTTGTTCTTCGACATCATATCATCTTTCAGATCCCTGTGAACATGACGTCATATCTTTTCAGAGCTCCGATCGTCTCCTGCTCACTTGAACGTCCACACGTTGGGAGATCCTTCACGATCGCTCTCTGGCTCAGCGAGAAGCTGCATGGCGTGTCATTGACCTCCCTCTCACTTTCATCTAGACCTTATCTCTTGTCATAAGCATGCGATCTTCTCCAAACTTGTAGACAATTGTTTCCTGTGCATCATGCAAGGGTCAATATCCTAACATCCACTCAACATTCGCCTTGCCTCGACATTCTTCGTCGATTCCTGCTCCCCTTCCCCTGTACAAAGTTGCCCGCCATCTCTCCAGCTAGAGCGCTTGAAGAGCTGTAGAGGCATGCACTGTCCTCCCCCGCGCAGACGAAGAGCCTGGAAGGAGGCCCGCGGACCTCAGGGATGTAGCGAAACGAAGAGCTTTAACTCACCATGTCCTTGCAGTCCATCGAGTAAAACCTGTGCTCACCCGAAGTTTGACACAGAGCAGCTTGCGCCATGAAGCGACAGAACAACTCTCTTGCTGCTGATGCTGCTGCTGCAGCTCCACCACCACCCGCCTCCTCCTCCACACTCATCATCACTACTAGAAGCGCAACTATCCACCATCGGAGCATGAGCAGTTTCGTTTCAAACTTTGGTCGTTAAACTTGCATGATAAGTTTTGAAGTTATGAAAGTTTAGTACCCCTACCCTTCCATTTGCCTTTGATCCGGGGGTACAAACTCCCCGACCTACCAGCCTCTAAACCGGGAGGAACACGCCACCCACCACCATGTCGCAACATACTCCGAGTATGCCGATCCCTCCTCCTCCTCCTCCTCCTCCTCCTCCTCCTCCTCCTCCCCCTCCGACTCTCGCTTCAGATCGAACCACCACTTACCTAACTTCAGGAATCTCGCAGAGAAGGACGCAGACGACTAGAATGGGAGAGTATCGGCGGATTACACTGATTTGCTGCAAGTGTGCGAAAATCATCACTCATAATGGTTTCCACGTCCTCCTCTTCCTCACCAGGCACACTGTTTGCTATCAAAATGGGATAAGTTCATTGCGTCCTGGTCCGATCCATGCGGTTTACTTGGGATATCTTGTAACATCCGCAGCTGATTATTTTGATTCCGACTTTAGGGCAAATAATGATGATTACGGGAGTGACATATCTTCTCGTTGAGGAGCATCATGTTTGTCCGCCGGAGCTTCGCTAGGTTTGTATGAAGACGCTGATTCAAATGCCACAGTGCAATCTGGTCACCTCCGTTAACCATTTGTACCATGACGAGCTGAGGTCGGAGACGCTCCCTACCAGACGCGATTACTTTCTGCTTTACCAACCTGTAATTGGCTTGTGCACT